CCCGGTATTCAATGACGGAAACTTGAATTTAGACACCCAAATTTCGTAGATGACATACCTGGTCGGCGGTGCGCAGATTCACTTCTCAATTGAGCGGTTACTTAGTCTTATCGATGTGTACTCTTAGTAAGTGCCCACACCGCATCCATTTTGATTTCAAAATTGATGCGGTGTTGGGGTACTCAATTCAGAGTCCCTTTTGACCCATTGCTATGCTCTTCATCTTGACTCCTTCTCGAAATATCACTGATAGATTTTCCATGAATCCAGCGCCCTCCTAACTCTCCATTCAATCCATATGGTACCGCTCCTATGCTCGCTCCGGTGGTCGCCATCGCTTTGGGCGATCGATATCATTCCTAGGACCGTAACTATACTATTCTATACTTAATTAGTAATGACGCTGACTTTAGCCTTGAATGTCAAAATCGATACTTTATCAGCACATTCAAGTATCCCTGGCGATCACAATGATGGCTGTTCATACGGATGAATTGGCCCTGAATAGTCGCGCTCGTTAGCTTTGCGCCCTCAGGTCGAGAGTGGAGAATATGAGCGAAAACAAGGGGTGCTCGGGCCAAGATCAGCTTGTCAAGCAGGCTTTTCAGTTTGCTGTAGCTTCTACCAATCTGGATAAATAGGTTGTGGTTGTGCTGTGGTCGATAATTGGTGGCCCTTCGCCTTCCCTTTCCCAACTCGCAAAATGAACTCTAGCAGTGAAATTGAACACATCGTCGCGCCTTACTTCACAGTTACCACTGTCGTCACTCAACCACTTTCTATCCTCTCGGTATGTTTCATTCATAGCCCATTTTTCATGTTGTTTGACTCTCTAATTTGTTACAGGTCATGCTTTTCATCTATGGTTTGATTTCTCTTTGGTCGTTTTTCCCATGCCACTAACTGTCCCCGCCAACAGGGATATACGTCGTTTTATTCGGACTATCAGTCCATACTCTCTGTCGCCGCGATGGTCCCTCGTCCAAGCTATACATGGGGTGGACGATCAGCCTCTTTGTGCTGGCGACAATTTACACGGCTACATATATCTGGGGAATTTCGCGTCAAGCCGCCCTCGACTTCAGCACTGCAACAACAAAGGACTACGAAACTTTCTTCAAGTACCTCTTGATTGGCGTCGATAAAAAAAAGAGTGCATGGATGTAAGTTTTTCTCTCAGGAGTGTCTTACCCTAGTGACCAACGCGAGTTTCAAAGCTGGACCTGTGTTTTTACCTCCTCCATAATGAAGTGCGTATCCAATACATGCTGCTCTCTCCTTTCGTCCTAAATCGATCATTAGTGCCATTGCCGATTCAATGCTGGTAAGTCCTCACAACTGCAGATTGTCGTGCAAACCAAATTCAATCCAACTGGTCAGATCCACCGATGCTACACCATCTGGCAATCAAAATTTATTCTATATGTGCTCGCTTTCGTTGCGGTTGTTCTGAATGGTCTGCCTTCGTATTCACGTTTTTCCATTCAGAATTAATGTGTTATAACTGCTCGATAGGTATTACCTTCGGATGTGCTACTACCGGGATCATTGGAGAACGCACGACTAATCTCCGACTTTACGAATCAGCCTCAGCAATTGATAATGCCACTGCAATAGCTACAGCCGTCTTTCAAGTCTTACTAGCGTTACTGACAGGTATTAACAATGGCTCAATTGCTCTCGCGACATGAAAGCTTGATTAACTCACGACTCCAGGTGGGCGAATTTGGTGGATTAGCCGTCAAGCAAGACGTTTAATGGGACGCTCAACGAACGCGAAATACAATTCCATTACAGCTATTATGTGCGTTCCACAATTCTACGACCTTGAATTAATGCCGCTGACTCAACAAATGATAGTATCGAATCGGGAGTACTATATGCGAGTTGTCTGATAGGCCTCTTCATTTTTGAATTCACTGCCGACCCTGATTCCACCGGCATCGCTCCTTTTGATTTTGCGGTCGTTTCGACGCTGATGTCGGTGAGTAGCCGAGGTTGGCAGATGTGCGCCAATGAGATAACTTAACCTTTGCTTATTAGGGCCTCGCTCCCACGCTGATTATTGTACGTGTCTCGTATGGAAAATCCGTGAACAGCGTCCAGCAGATGGTGTCGACGTTACATTTTGCCGATGTCCCAGAAAACAGCCAGAAGTCAAGGCCGGTCGCCAACGTAGTACAGCTACGTACACACATTGATGACCACCGTCATTCAAGTTCGGAAACCAGTGACTCCGAACCATCGTCCTCAGGACCCACGGCAAGTGAAAAGATGGTGTAATGTGCGCTTGTCCCACTTGTCGTGATCGCAATGCTATTACCCATATGAACTACTCTCTTCTGCAATTATCTTAGTACTTAATACGTGTATCAAATCGCATGTAATGTTACCTGTAGTATTAACAAGCCCGTCACCTTACATACATTTCTCGGAGGGTGTACTATAGGATCCCTGGCAACCCCAAAGATGTATGTTCTCGGGACACAAAATGTTCCGGATCCAAAAAAGGCGATCCATATCCATACTTTGAATCATACCTAGCTCGAGGGGTCCTCAGAATCCAGATTACGGGTACTTACATCATGCTGGAAAAACCTCCGCCTAGTCCTGTAATAGGCATGTACTTATGCCGAGGTTCTGCAGAATTCATGCCCCACTACGTGAGGTGTCCTCAATTACCAGGGTGTACAACGAAGCGACTCGAACCCAGCTATCTATTTCAAGAAAAGACACGATTTGACCTAGAGACCGTCGCAATGCTACGCCAAACCATACTGTTATTAGATATCTAGACCCATTACCACAGAGTTTGGAGAGAAGAGCAATCAGAACAAGTGTGGCACCGTTCTCAAACGGAAGGTTTTCGATATTCGGTCCAGAATTCTATGTAAAAATATTCTTGGAGATCGTGGTGAAGCCAGGACTCAAGATAGATGCAGATAGCCAATGCGCACCAAGTCACAGGAAACAGTAAGCCTTCAGACCTTGAGATCTTCGGCTGAACCGATGGATCAAATGTTGCTTGGGGTAACATCCTCGCTGGCCGCAGGGTTTGACTTTCCAAGACCCCCCTAGTCGCCAGTCTCGATCCTAAATTTCGGCCTCAGGTCCTATGATTTTTGGGGAGATACAACAATGAGAAATTGTTGAGGGAGCCTAAGTTCGGTGCCACTCAGGACAAAAGGGAAGATATGGGACGCGCTTTGGGACCTTGATCGACGCGGTCACGCGATATCGGAAAACTTCTCCGGATCAGTCGGCCGACAGCGTACCCAGTTTCGGAGTTTAAGCGGATCGGCTATAGAACGGACCGGCTTTTCCTCGTCCAGTTTAGGCAACGAGACCCAAGCGTAAAAAAAGCGATTTCCTTTTTTTTTCCGCTGGGGAGAAAAGAAAAGAAAAAATGTCCTCCGGTTTTCACCAGACCCATCGGAAACTTGAAACCACATGTCTTCGTCTAACGCGCTGAATAAAGCCCTCGAAGCCGCCCTCGACTCTCGCGCAAAGCGAAAGATACTCCGTCGATTACCACCACCATCGACACCCACTACGAAAACGGCTGTCGATTTTACCTCGAACGATTACCTCTCGTTATCGGTTTCTCCTCATCTTCATAACCATCTTCTGGATGCTCTCTCTCGTTCCGAAAACATATTAGGATCAGGAGGGTCGCGACTCCTCGTGAACCCCGTCACACACGACGCCTTGGAATCACGACTAGCGACTTTTTTCCATCACACACGGGAGGGAACGTTACTTTTCAACTCGGGGTACGATGCCAACGTCAGCTTCTTCTCTACTGTGCCCCAATCTGGAGATGTAGTCGTTTACGATGAATACATCCATGCAAGTGTGCACGATGGATTACGATCGGGGTGCAGAGCGAAGAAACGGGTTTCTTTCAAAAATAATGATCTGTCGTCGTTGGGAGCAGTTCTGGAGGGGCTTTTGGATGAGGAAGGGTTGGGGTTGAGGTTGAGGAACGGGACATCGTCGCTGTTTTTGGCGGTTGAGTCGGCGTATAGTATGGACGGGACTTTTGCACCTTTGGAGGCAATGGCACAGCTTCTGGAGGACCTGTTCCCGTCCGGCAATGCGTATTTGATCGTAGACGAAGCTCATGCGACGGGTTTGTATGGACCTCAAGGTCGCGGCCGAGTCGCGTTCGAAGGATTAGAGGGACACCCCAGGATTCTGGCGAGGTTGTGTACATTTGGGAAAGCGTTGGCTGCTACTGGAGGTGAGCCGCTTCAAGTGGAACTCCCTCGGAATCTATGACTGACCCTGTTTTGTTTTTGCTTTCAGCTGTTATATTGACGACACCACTGGTTGCGAGATACCTGACAAACTACGCCAGACCACTGGTCTACACCACTGCACTCTCACATCTGGCTATTATCGCGGCCTCATGCTCATTCGATATGCTCGAAGATGGGACAGCAGAAGCGCTGGCAGAACGAGTGTTGGGAATGAGTCGGTGGTTTTCAAGGCGACTCAAAAAACGACTTCGGGAGGAAGGGATCGGAAATGGAATCCTTCGCGTCGGCATTGACAATGCTGATAAGGGGGACGCATTGCACTTTCACTCCCCAATTTTACCATTGTTGACACCATCACTTCCTTCATCGACCGAAAAGAAAAGCTACTCTCCGGCTCACGACCTCTCGTCATATCTCCTCTGGACATACCGAATTCTCGCGCGACCGATCACTTGGCCTACAGTACCCAAAGGTCAAGACAGGGTTCGCGTGTGTTTACATGCAGGACATACGGAGGAACAGGTTTCGGCTCTGGTTGAGGGCGTTGTGGAGTGGAGTAAGATGAGGGCTAGGACTGTTCAGGAGGAACAAGTGGGAGTATTTGCTCGGAGTAGACTTTGAGGAAGAGGGGGCACTTCGAAAGACGTAAAAAAGCTTGTAGACTACTATCTATCCATATGTACTTGTGCATAAATCCCGAGTAAATACTTGAGGGGTTCAAATGGCGCTATCTTCATTAGCAGCATGGCGCAGTGGTAGCGCGCGGGGCCCATATTATGTTATTCTGGTTTTGCGGGAACCCCGAGGTCACTTGATCGAAACAAGTTGCTGCTATTCCCCCCTCTACCTCTTTTTTTGTCCCCACCCTGACGGTAGGTTAACGTTGCCCTTCGTGCTTGCAACGAGTGAGATGATTTTGATTGCATGCTCAAGATCGTCTTGCCGTGAACGCAGAACTTTTCACCGCACTAAAAAATCATCTTCTAACAGAAGTAATTGTATCGGTACATTACAAGTAAAAGGGACCGTGATGTGTATAATAGATACATGTGTGGTCGTTAGGTGCGTGTACGGAAACCGTTTGAGAGGGTCATAACAGTCGTATGCCAGGTATAATAATAGAGAACAGATACATTTACCGAGTCATGAAAGATGTCCTGTCATTATATCGTAGGAATATCATTTCGTTAATCGAAAGTTTCATATTCCGTGAGCCATTTGACAGCCTAGTACCTACTTGCGTCCTATGTGCGAGATATGTTGGAAGGTCCTTCGGAAGAACCCAAGATGTTTCTGTTTACCTGGTTGGCCAACGCCGATCTCGGCTTGGATGGGAATATCCATCGCCGTAGTGGAGTTGTCAGCCACCAGGTCATTTCCATTGCTAGGTGCTGATGGCAAAGGCAGTCAGAGAAAACATTTTTCAGATATACGACACAGAACTCACCAAACCACCAAAGTGTAGTAACCCCAACCGGTAAGTTAATGCTGGCTTGCATGCCTCTAAACTCGATGGTTGTCTGGACATTCTGAGGGTTCCAGCTGCCTCCAACCTGGTCGTTCCCTAGATGAGGCATCCAAAGTGAAAAACTTATGCACGTATATGTCAATCGAGTAACTCACAGTTCAAGATAACCAGGGAATATCTCGACCAGTCGGCCGAGTTCGTACGGCCTGTTACAAACGCCCCGACTCTCAGCTCCGTGTTCAACGAGCCTCCAACTCTGACGCCAATTCGTTTGGCGAAGGGTCCTCCGGAGTCTTTGGGAATAGTTGCTTTGGATACTTGCGCCATCGCGTAGACTGCGATGTGTTCGTCAATAACATCCTTCTGTGAGGAGAAAGAGGAAGCATACATTCTTGATTAACGCTCCAAGAGCCGTCATTGTTGATTTGCACTACGCCTCGACAGCCTGGTCCGCCGCAACTGTTGGTACCAGGAAGTTTGGGATTGCCGTTGCCATCGAGAGCGATATTCCACATAAGGCCCGTGCTAGATCCGTGCTCGAGAGATCCTACGAGTTGAGGTCAGTTTGTGATCGAATGGAATTTTGAACGATTCGAACGCACCAATGAAGCTAACGAAAGAAGATGACATTGGAGGTTTAGGTCGGCTGATGGGTTCTCTTCGCAGAGTAAACTTACATGTTATCCATGTACCACTAGACCGTGAGCAGCGCTTCATTAGTTTCTCCCTTACGAAACAGGCCTAGTCCAGACTTGCCTTGATATCACCCCACCAATCCGATCCGATAGTGCCTGAGCATTCTGTATGTGCCGGACGATCTAAGCGATGTGCACGGAATGGGGAAATTAGGCGCCTACTTACCCGTGAAATAGACCTAGCATGGTTTATCAATTGTTTTAGTGGTGGACTTGTCTACCGAAGGCGAGGTCAAACATACCTCCTTGTTAGGGAACTTCTGAGTGAAAGCGTCTTGTTGTGAAACACTTCCCTGTGAACCGTAGGAGTAAGCAGACAATAAAAAACCTTCATGTCATGATGAGAACATACCGCGTAACAATGGAAAGCTGCACCAGCGTAGGCACTACCAGCTGCCTGAAGCACTTGTACAGGATACGTCCCGGCGTTATCCCAGTTATGATCGTAGGCTTCCAAGTGTTTAAGTGTCGGTGATAACGTCCGAGAAAACGGACGACATACCGATCAGCTTCGTGCTGCCAAACCCATTATTGTTCATCAAAGTCCGGAGTGCTTGTCCTACTTGAGCCTCAAGTTGAGGAGTGTAAACGCTCGTAGGGTAAGTAGGGTTATTGTTCTGAGGTTCATTCTGGACGGAGATTGCGTAAACCGATATCCCATGGCTTCGGAAACCCTGCAAACTTTTCAAGAGATAGTTCGCGACTATGACAAGATACGGTCAGAGCCCACAGAGAACATGTAGTGAAGAGGTACCTACAGTTCTGAACTTGGTTCGAGTTGAGTGATCCACCGTTAAGGGAACCTCCAGATTTCATCCATCCGGGCTAATGTATGGTCACGATGAGATTAAGCAAACACGAGGCGAAAAAGTTCTCATACCGGTGACCAGGGAAGGATGTGAACCTTGACCACTGCAAGCGATGGTCGGACTCGATTGAATTATAAAGATATGGCGTGTGACTGAACTCACAAGGATTGACTGCAATAATGTCTTGGAGAACAGAGAAGAGGTACGAAGGAGCGCGGTTGATGTTGAAGCTCTGGAGCGTCGTATCCCCATTAACATCGTCGTAAGTGTACGCTAGATAATACGTCATCGTCAAATGACATCATTGGAGCAAATTTAGAGAAATACTCACGACCGGCCGAGAAATCCGATGCTCCCAATGGTACCCGGACATACGAGAGCCCCGCCGCATTCGCGCCATCTGTCGGCGAGAAGAGGTAGTTGAGCAAATTCCGGTAATTGGTCGGGTTTTTGGACTAGAAAGAGAAAAATATCGATTTTTGGGCGATGCGAGCTGAAGGAAATATGAACCTTGAGATTGTTCAGCAGAAGAGCAGAGCTATCAGCTGCAAGGCACCAAGAAGTCAAAAATAAGCTTGATTTTAGGTAGAAGTATGGTAACGCACTGAGAGAGCTTCCAAAACCAAAGATATTCTGATTGACCGTTGTATCGTCGACGACTATATCTGCTTGACCAATCGCACCGGGCGACGCAAAGTTTATGGGCGATGACGGAGCTAATGAAGTGAATAACTTCTGGCGGTCCCAGGTTGTCTGCCACTGTGATCGACTCGTTGTAAATCTTCACTTGCAACGGAGAACCAGGGCTGAACACGTACGATGTCCCATATCTGCTGTGAAGCAACCAACTCCGCTACGCCCAAGATGAGAGAAAGAACGAGGGACCTCATTGAGGAATGGGAGGGAGCTCTATGACGCGAAAATGGATGAAAATGAAAGATGAAAGGTGTTATATAGGAGGATTGAAGTAAAACCTAAGAAGACGTGACCAATTATTTAAGACTTTCTCTGGTTTCCTAGCAGTGACGCATGGTCAAGTTCCGAATAATTGGGCGCGAGGAAAACGATCATTTTTCCATACGGTGTGGCCCGTGGCAACCTCTGAGAAACAACTACTCAAGTTAATTCAATGCGTTGATCTTCAGCAGAGATCGATGCATATGACATACCCGCCTGCTATTCTTCGGTGTTTTAATGGAGTCAACACATAAGTTACTAGTAAGGTTTGCGTTTGATGCCAAAACTGGATTCTGGTCCCTGGAAACCCTCAAATATAACGCAGGAATGTGAAATAACAGGGGAAGGGAGCTTTGTACGGGTTAATTATGTACCAGGTCCCTCAAATGATATCTCACAGGGGAGTGGTGATATTGAGTATTACAGCCCCTTTTAAATTCGAATGAACATACTTGAGTTCGCCAAATGAACGAACTTGGCTAGCTCTACCGGCCTGAAACCGATCGGGAAACCATGACAGGCGTCGTTAAACAGGAATGATTGACCGCTCGGAATAGTGGCAAAGCAGCAGCATTTGTCCAACCACTTTAGATTCAGCACGTCTTGAACTGTGGACTCGAGACTTTCGACTTGGTATATCGGACGGTAGCGAACTCCACAACGTCATGGCTAGCGGTGTTACCCGCGACTTTAGCAATTAGACTCTTCTGAGTCAATACGGACCAAGCTAAGTGGGGTTAAGTTGATGGCTTGAATTTACAAAAGGCCCGAGACACACACCTCGTTCAAGACTAGAGTAACAATAGTAAATGACGAACCGAAAACATATCACATCATCGACATCGACACTTTCACCCCAACGAAGAGGGGTTCGAACAGGAATTTCTATAGCCATAGATGGGCGTCAAGTTCGGGATGTTGGAGAGTTGAATGGTTAGTGAGCCCAGAACCACAGACGTCATGCTAAGCACGAATTACCAGGAGTCGGAGTAGGTCGGGGTAGTATTGCGATTGTTCGAACGAGAACTCTATTCTCAACCTGCAGCGGGGTCCAGGCTGAATCTGACGAGATAGTATGTGCATCCCAGTACCTGAGCTCGAAAGGTATCTGGATCCGGAGAGTTAGGCAGCAGGACCAGACGGAGAGACAATACATTTTTGAAAATTTTCCCTAACAGCCCGTCCTCCGCAGTCGACCTTTATGTAGAAGGGGAATCCGTGATCCCGGAGTCCAATCTTGTCCGAAGATCCTCAAAACATGAAGACGGTGCAGGTGCAGTTACGAAGTGGAACAACCAGAGACACGGCACCTCCATCCTGGCACTGAAGCGACTCGGAGTACAGCTTCACCATCGATTCTACCCACTTGGAATTTTTCACTGCCAAGTCTTAAATCTGTCTTCTTGCGTGCTAGTACATGCAAATTCAACGGGTGGAGTGGGGTGGAGAAGTGCAAAAAGGGAATGGTCGAGTTGACCGTATGACAGACAACCTTGAAGAAAACCGAAAATACCCAATTGCAAGGTGCCCATATCGACACTTGCTCCTGTGGATACATTGATTGAAATGTAGATTGAGATCAGAGAAGGGAGAAGGAGAGCGAGAAATCGAACTGTCACTCGGTGGCGCTCAAGCGCTCAACCTTGAATTAGCCGCTTGAGCGGAAGTCGTGGGAACTTCTTCATCCAGACTTCAGCTCCAGGCTCAATCGTTCACCCTTGCTTGGTGAGTTTTTTTGGTTCGCTAGAATAGCTAGTAAGCTCAACCGAGAGTTCAAATTTTGGTGATTTGAGTGCCATGAGGTGCAACATGAGGAGTGCTAGGCTGGACCAAGACTGGATCACAAGGTTCACACTCAGGGTGATTGCTTAGGTTTCGAGTCGCCCAGCAGGTAAAGCTGCGAAG